GGGAGAGTGAAACTCTGTCTCAAAAATGACTGAGGTTTTTGGCCTGAAAAAGGGAGACAATTACAGCTGGAGCCCATTTTAGGGGAAGACGATAGGCTTGTTGTACACAGGTCAAGTTTGAGATGTCTGTTTTTCATTCAAGCAGACACATGAAGTAGAGGCCAGGCCACTGGATTCAGGGGCAATGGGGCAGGGGAGGGACTGGAGGTCCAGTCAGCCCTGCTGACTGTAGGCAGGGCAAAGCTCAGAGCTTGGGACTTGGGGCACTCCTCCTCCACCCTGGCCTCAGCTCAGGGCTGGGTCTGACAAAGGACAGGTGTAATCACATCCCAGGGCCATGGCTGACTCAGTTATTTGGCTGCTCTCGATGGGCCCGGTCACATTTAAACTTCTGTGGCACTGAGTGTGTGAGGTTTGTCCAGTTTGACACACAGCTCTTGATCAAGACTCGGCAAACCAAGGCCCTTGGCAAAGTCTGTCTGTTTTAGCAAATAAAGTTTTATCCAGATGAAGCCAAACCCATTTGGGTTGGCTAAGGCCACTATAATAGAACCAAGTGGTTGCTGAAGACCACATGGCCTACAAAGCCTAAAACATTTACCATCCGGCCCTTTAAGGGCAGTGCTCACTGACTCCTCTCCGTCTTTCATTAAATAGCGTGTGGTTCTGTTACAGGAACACATAGCAAACTACTGAATAAGACATTTAGATGGTTCCCAACTTTTTGCTATTATGAAAATGTTACAATAAACATTCTTACCCATGTTTCCCTGGGCTCCTGGGCGTGCACACAGTAGAATTCCTGGTTTGTAGGAAGGACATGGGCATCTTCATTTGGGTCAGTTGTGCCAAATTGCTCTCCAGTGTCGCTGAGGTCACTTACACTCCCAGCAGCAGTGGAAAGGGCCCATCGATCCACATTCCTCTGAACTTATTACCTAGCAGGTGTCCTCAAACGTCATTAGTTACCAGTCTTTCACTGTGTGTAGATTCTCCTGGATTTCCTAGCTGGGAATGACAGATTTGCTCCTTTTTTTGTCTTGGTGCTCTGGACACCATACAATATTGAATTGTGTTTACAGGATATTTGTTCCTGGCTTTAAAAAGAATATTTCATGTTTCATCACATAGTATGGTGTTTTACCTTTAAGTACATGCTTACTGTAGGTTGGGTTTTCTTTTTCTTTCTTTTTTTATTTTTTGATGGAGTCTCGCTCTCCCACCAGGCTACAATGCAGTGGCACAAACTCGACTCACTGCGACCTCCACCTCCTGCCTCAAGCATTCCAGTAGTTGTTCAAGCGATTCTCCTGCCTCAGCATTCCAGTAGTTGGGATTACAGGCGCGTGCCACCATGCCCAGCTAATTTTGTATTTTTAGTAGGGACAGGATTTTACCATGTTGGCCAGGATAGTCTCGATCTCTTGACCTTGTGTTCTGCCTGCCTTGGCCACCCAAAGTGCTATGATTACAGGTGTGAGCTACCACACCTGGCCTAGTTTTTTTTTTTTTTTTTTCTCCAGTATTTTTTGTTTTTCTGAGACAAGGCCTCACTCTGTCACTCAAATGATCCTCCCACTTCAGCTTCCCAAGCAGTTGGGACTATAGGTGCATGTCACCAAAGCCAGCTAATTTTCTTTTATTTTTTTGAGACAGAGTCTTACTCTTGTCACGTAGGCTGGAGTGCAGTGGCATGATCTTGGCTCACTCCAACCTCTGCCTCCAGGATTCAAGCAATTCTTGTGCCTCAGCCTCCCAAGTAGCTGAAATTACAGGCACACGCCACCCTGCCTAGCTAACTTTTGTATTTTTAGTAGAGAGGGGGTTTCACCATGTTGGCCAGGATGGTCTCAAACTCCTGACCTCAAGTGATCCACCTGCCTTGGCCTCCCAAAGTGCTGGGATTACAGGCATGAACCACTGAGCCTGGCCTAATTTTCTGATTTTCCTAGAAACAGGGTCTCACTATGTGGTCCAGGCTGGTCTCAAACTTCTGGGCTCAAGTGATTCTCCAACCTGGGCCTCCCAAAATACTGGGATTACACTATTACTCCTTTTTAAATTTCTTTGACACTCTGCTCATTGATTTTCTATATTATCTAAGTAATAACTCTATGTAATAAGGCTATAAATCTGATTTTTTTAAAGAAATGGGTCTTATTTAGTCACCCAGGTTGGAATGCAGAGGTGCATTCACAGCTCACTGCAGTCCTGAACTCTTGGGCTCAAGCAACTCTCCAGTCCGGGCCTTGGGTTGTTTGGTTTATTAGTTACTTACAGAGGTCTTATGTCTCCCACTAAGATGGAAAACTTGGCAATTTCTCCTTGTATTCTTAATCTATTTTCAGCACCCCTCCTCCCGTTTTTTGAGACAGAAAAAAAATCTGATTTTTTTATTTTTTAAAGAAATGGGTCTTATTTAGTCACCCAGGTTGGAATGCAGAGGTGCATTCACAGCTCACTGCAGTCCTGAACTCTTGGGCTCAAGCAACTCTCCAGTCCGGGCCTTGGGTTGTTTGGTTTATTAGTTACTTACAGAGGTCTTATGTCTCCCACTAAGATGGAAAACTTGGCAATTTCTCCTTGTATTCTTAATCTATTTTCAGCACCCCTCCTCCCGTTTTTTGAGACAGAAAAAAAATCTGATTTTTTTATTTTTTAAAGAAATGGGTCTTATTTAGTCACCCAGGTAGGAATGCAGAGGTGCATTCACAGCTCACTGCAGCCCTGAACTCTTGGGCTCAAGCAATTCTCCAGTCTGGGCCTCCCAAAGTGCTGGGATTTCAGGTATGTCACCCACGCTGGAGGGTAGTGGCACAATCTCGACTCACTGCAACCTCCACATAGCAGGTTCAAGCAATTCTTCTGCCTCAGCCACCTAAGTAGCTGGGATGACAGGCATGCACCACCACATCCAGCTAATTTTTGTATTTTTAGTAGAGACAGGGTTTTGCCATGTTGGCCAGGCTGGTCTTGAACTCCTGGCCTCAAGTTATCTGGCCACCTCGGTCTCCCAAAGTCCTGGGATTACGGACATGAGTCACCGTGCCTGGCCTATTTTCAGCCTTAAAAAAAAAAAAAAAAAGGAAAAAGAAAGAAACCCTGGAACATAGAAGTTCAAAACTTTTCTCTCTTCATAGAGTTCCTCCTTTCATTTCCTGGTGATTCTCTTTATCCCCAGTATCTTCTGCCTGAAAGCCTATTTTGTCTGAGTTTTCTATAGGTACATCTTTTGGTTAGTCTTTCTCTAGCATATCTTTTTCCATCTTAACATTTAAAAAAAAAATTTTAATTTAATTTTTGATGCTGAGTCTTGCTCTGTTGCCCAGGCTGCAATGCAGTGGCACAATCTTGGCTCACTGCAGCCTCTGCCTCCAGGGTTCAAGCGATTCTTCTGCCTCAGGATAGGTGTGTACCACCATGCCTGTCTAATTTTTGTATTTTTAGTAGAGATGAGGTTTCACCATGTTGGTCAGGCTGGTTTCCAACTCCTGACCCAGTGATCAGCCTGCCTCGACCTCCCAAAGTGCTGGGATTACAAGCGTGAGCCACCGCACCCAGCCTCCATCTTTTTGCTTTTGGTGCCCTTAGGTTTTAAATGTCCTCTTGTAAACGGCATAGAGCTGCATTTTATTTTTTCTTGGCCCATCTGGTAATCTGTGTTTTGAGAGGTGAAGGTAAACCACATTTTCTGCCTCTAGTTTTGTACCATATATTTACCATCCCTTTTACTTTGTTTTGCTTTACTTTGCTATTAGTTTTAATACCCATCACTACCCTTTTCTCTGCATTGGCAGTTACAGTTCCGTTTCTACTCTTTTTTTTTTTTTTTTTTTTTTTTAAGATGGGGTTTCACCGTGATGGCCAGGCTGGTCTTGAACTCCTGACCTCAGGTGATCCACCCACCGCGGCCTCCCAAAGTGCTAGGATTACAGGCGTGAGCCACCGTGCCCGGCCTCCGTTTCTACTCATTTGGTGATCCCTCTTAAATATCTGAAATACTCACCTAACTTTACAAAGCCAGACAATCCTCAGTCTCTTTACCCACCTCTCAAACAAATCTAACTTCCGAGAACACCTTAACTCTGATTGCCTTCTCAGTCTTCCAAGTTCTTGTGTCTCATACATCTTGTTGCTGTAGCCCACAAATTAATCATTATTATTCATGTTGCATATTAAATGCTTGTTTAGATTTACTCACGTTTACCAATTTGCTCACCATTTTTCCGTCTAATTTCTTCCTTTTGGGTTCCATGTCCTTATTACCGAAGTACATTCTTTAAAAATTATTTCAGCGGCCGCGCGCAGTGGCTCACGCCTGTAACCCAGCACTTTAGGAGGCTGAGGCGGATGGATCACGAGATCAGATCAAAACTATCCTGACCAACATGCTGAAACCCCGTCTCTACTAAAAATACAAAATTAGCCGGGTGTGGTGTCACGCACCTGTAGTCCTAGCTACTCAGGAGCCTGAGGCAGGAGAAATCGCTTGAACCTGGGAAGTGGAGCTTGCAGCGAGCTGAGATGGTGCCATTGCACTCCAGCCTGGTCGACAGAATGAGACTCCGTCCCACTCCCCCCCAAAAAATAATTTCAGCAATGGTCTTTTGTGTAAACTCTTTGTCACAACATATCTTTACTTCTCCTTAACTCTTAAATCATGGATCAACAACTCGACGGCATTTTTCCTTCAGGGTGTAAAAAGTTACATTTTACTCTAGCTTCTATGTTTGCTGCTGAGAAGTCTGTTATTGGTGTAATTTAAAAAATCCATCGTCGCTTTTAAAATCGCGTAGTCTTTGGAGTTCTGCAAATTCACTAGAGTGTCCAGATGTTCATCTCCGGTGTGTGCATTCTACTCTGGATTTTAAGAATCACTTCTGGCAGCTCTCCTTCAGGAATTGCCTCTGCAGGTCTTTCAGTGCTCGCCTCTGAAAGGAGCTCTGCTCCGGCCTGTGAGGTCTCCCGGCATTGCCATCTGTGGCTTTTTCCTTTTTATTCTCCATCACCTGTCTCTGGTGAGCTGCTTCCGATCAGCCTCCAGGTCCACGAATTCTCTTCTGCTGTCCTACACCTCATCCTCTGAGACCTGAATTTCCATGGCTCTACTTGTCAATTCTAGAATTCCTTTTCAAACCTGGGCCTTCTTTTGTAATGTCTTGCTTGATCCTGTGTCTGACTGTGCCTCCTGCACCTTCTCCCGTCTCTCGCCCTAAGCCCCTTGAAGGCGCCAGCCTTTGGCTCCGGCTGTTTCCCACGGTGCCCAGAATCGCGTCAGGCCTGGCACAGACTCGGTGAGGGTAGGAAGCGGTGCCGCGGGGCTGCAGCCTGGCCCGCCCATTCCCTCAGCCATGGCAGCCCCGCCGCCCTCCAGACCTCACTCGAGCTCCGCGCTGCGAGAGGCTCCTGGGCCGGCCATGACGTCACAGACTGTGACGCTCCCAGGAGCCCCGCCCCTCGCGTCCCGAGCCGGGGACCCAGGCTCTCTGCGCCGTGACGTCACGAGCCCGGGCGGGCAGGTTGTGCGTCGGCCCAATGGGAGCGGTGCGCCGGCCTCCCCTTTAAGGAATGTTGTGACCTGACGTCACTGGGCGAGTTACCTCCCGCAGCCGCCGCCGCCGCGCTCAGCGCGAGTCCCGGAGCCCTTGAGCGTGAGGCACGGAGCCCCCGGAGCCCCCAAACCGCAGCCACATCCCCACGTCCCAGAGCCCCGGCCTGCGCGCCCAACCGGGCCCGCGCGATGCCCTCAGACCGGCCTTTCAAGCAACGGCGGAGCTTTGGTGAGGCCCCGCGGGCAAGCTGTGAGCTCGGAGCAGGGGTACCCGGGAGCCCGGCAGACCCCGGCTACCGCAGGTGACGTCAGCCCTGTGACGTCAGGCTCCAGCCGGACCCTCGGGCTGGGAGGCTGACTCCAGCCTGGGCGGGGGCCACCCACCTCCCCACCACGATAGGTGCTAGGGGCTGTGGGGCCTGACGGCCCCGGGGGCGGGGGCTGGAGCTGGGGCGGGGCTGGGGGCCGCCCCTTGGGGACAGGCGGGGCGGAGACACGGGGAGGACCTGGGCCGGGCCCAGCCCTGCCTCAAGGTCCGGCCGCCATCCGCAGCCGACCGCTGTAAGGAGGTACAGCAGATCCGCGACCAGCACCCCAGCAAGATCCCGGTGAGTCCCGCGCCCCTAGCCCTGCTCCGCCCTGGCTGCGCCTCGCGCACCCCCGACACGAACCCCTGCCCGCCTGCCCCGCTCCCAGGTGATCATCGAGCGCTACAAGGGTGAGAAGCAGCTGCCCGTCCTGGACAAGACCAAGTTCCTGGTCCCGGACCATGTCAACATGAGCGAGTTGGTCAAGATCATCCGGTGCGTGGGCAGCCGCAGCCAGGAGGCAGCTTGGGTCGGGCGGGGAGTGGGGTTCCCGCCGAGAGGGGTGGGAATGGGATCAGGAGTAATGGGACTGGGCGGTGGGCCCCTGTTCTGGGGCGGCTGGAAAGGTCAAGGTCGGGGCTGCAGTTGGAGTCGGGTCAGAGGTGAGAGCTGGGGTGAGGATGGATGTGAAAGGCTGGGAATCATTCTGGGGGTCAGGGCTGTGCCTGCCCTGCAGCCAAGTCCCTCACAGCCGCACGCCCTCCCGCCCGCCTCAGGCGCCGCCTGCAGCTGAACCCCACTCAGGCCTTCTTCCTGCTGGTGAACCAGCACAGCATGGTGAGCGTGTCCACGCCCATCGCGGACATCTACGAGCAGGAGAAAGATGAGGACGGCTTCCTCTACATGGTCTACGCCTCCCAGGAAACCTTCGGCTTCTGAGCCAGCAGTAGGGGGGGGGGTTGGCCTGGGAGTGGGGGGGAGCCCGGTCAGGCCCTGCCCAGAAAACCCCTGGTTCCTGAACTGAGCTGCCTCTGCTTAGGGTGGGCTGGGGAGGGATGTGGCCCCTAGTCAGATGGCACCAACCCACCTACTCTGCCCCGGGTGGTTTTGTTAGGGTTGCCCGTCTGGGTGCTGGCTGGGACGGGGGAGGGTGAGGAACATCCCCCAGCACCCCTGCTGTGTGGTTCATCTTTTTTTTAGGCCCCTGCCTGCCCCTCACCCACCAGAGGCTCTGCCCACCACCTGGACCTGCCCACCCCTGAAAGACTGGCCCCCCACCCCTCAGTCTCCACATGGCGTATGGATCTGTGGTCATTGTCCCTCTGCAGAATAAAGATTGCTCAGGCCTGCCTGGCCCTGTGCCTCCAGCTGCTTGCTTGGGAGTAAGGAGGGTGCTGGTGGGGTTGTCTGCACCATCCCTGGGCTCCGGCACACCGGAAACCCACACCTGTGTGTAGTATTCCAGAACATTATTAGGGGCCACCCCCTCTAGGAGTGCAACGCAGATGTGGGCCCAGGGTAGGCTTCGTAACAAAAACCATTTATTAAGTAGCCACAACCTAACAAGCCCTGCTCACCTGCCTTTTCCAGAGCTCCCAGTTCCTCCCCACAGGCCTTGCAGTCAGCCATGGGTCCCTTTTGGTACCAGAGACTTGTGACTCTGGACTTGAACCTCTTCTGCCCAAGGACTCGCCTGCTGGCAACTCTGGCTGGAGGGCCTGGCCCAGCTTCCCGCCCCTGAGGTCCGCACAGCCCTGTGCCAGCCAGGCCTACTTGAGCACAAGCATGGCCTCTGTGCCGTCCTTGGCAGTCAAATAGAGGCCGTGTGTGAGGTAGTACTCCCGCCGCAGGAAGGCATAGAAGTAATCAGAGATGAGCAGGATCTGGGGAGAGAGAGAGGATGTGAGGTGCTGCAGGGTACCACCCCCTGAACCCAGGACCCCTGAGTGGCTGGCAGGTGATAGGAGACAGAGCCCCTGCTTGGCCCTGAATCAACAATCACTGGAGAGGCCCTGCCCAGGGCCCCACCTCAGGGCCCGTACTCGACCTCTCAGAAGCTGCCCAGACTCCCCTTGCCCCCACCCATGGTCTACACCTCCATCCTAAGTTCTGGCCTTGAATGCCAGCCTGGTGCCTGTGCAACCACAGGCCTGTGCCCCCTCTGACAGGCACTTCCACCCCAGCCAGGTCCACATCAAACTCCTCACCTTTCCCCTGTCAAACCCACTTATCCCACTGGGCATCCATGCCCCCATCTTCCACCCAGGTGCCCAGGCCACAAAATTGCCTGACACTTCTCTCATACATCAAGCCACGATGACCTGTCAATTCTACCTCCTAAACTCAAATCCACCCTTTCAATACATCCCCACAGTCACTACTCTAACAGAGCCACTGTCATCTAAACAACAAAGCTTAGTCCCTGGGCTCCCTCCTCTCAAACTCATGCCCACCCCATTCTCCCTGGCAGCCAGAGGGAGCTTTTCAAAACCCACATCTGATCGTGTTACTTCCAGCCTTCAAATCCTCCAAAGGCTTCCCATGCCTTAGGGCAAAGCTCAAACTCCCTGGCGCTCTGAGACCTTGCCCAGGTCCCTGCCTACCCTCTCCTGGCTCCACCTAATCCCATTGCAGGATCTTTACTGTTTCTTCTGCCTGGAATGTTCTCTCCCCGTTCATCTAGTCGACAGCTGCTTACCCTTCAGGTCTCAGGAAGGATCACTTGCCCCCCGCCACCCCCCCCCCGCCAAGATTAGGTCTTAGCCCCACTAATCTCTACTCAGTAACACAGACTCATCCAAAGTGCAATTTTCCATTCAGCTGGCAGCCTGACTGTGCCTCCTCCCCTGGCCCAGGTCCTCCATCAGGGCAGGGTCTTTGAGTGGTTCTGTCACTATGGTATCTCTGTGCCCAGCTCAGTTTGTCCCATTCTGGGCCATACACAGAATCAAAGGGGGCCTAGGAGCTCAGCTCCACTGTCTCTTCAAGGACGATTTGCCAAGGGCCCTACACACCAGACCCGGAGTCTACAATCCCAGTCAGCCCAAGCAGCTCAAGACCTCTGGTACCTGAAGCAGGGTGAGCAGGGCCCAGCCCCAGAGAAGGATGAGGGGATGGGGGCTCACACTGCAAACGCCACAGCTTTCAGGCACCTGGAGGCCTCTCAGAGGATTGACACCAACCACCACTTGGCACAGATGGGGAGAATGAGGCAGAGAAACCCTTGGCTATGGTCTTGGGGCAAGACAGAGGTTGAGCTAAGCCTGGGATCTAGACCTCCAGACCCCAGCACCCTGTCCTGGGCAGCTTCTCACTCACCTAAAGGTAACACAATAGCAGCTAAGGAGAGATCAGAGGTACCTGGAGGACTTCAGGAAGGTGTCCTGTCACCAGCAGCTCTGATGGCCTCAGGACAAGTACCTGCCGTTCTATCACCACAGAAGCCCATCTGGAAGGTTTAACAATCCTCATCTTAAACAGATGGGGAAACTGAGGCTCAAAGGGTTCAATGGTTGGCCTAAGGCCAACCTGGAGCACTGGACCAATGGCCATGGACCCAGCAAGGTGGTCTGCCTGGGGCCCAGTTCACTGATGGGCACGAGATTGGCCACAGTGTCAGCAAAGCAGACAGAGCTCAGGCAGCCCCCGAGGCCCTGCCCCCAGCTGTCCAGCTGGCAGCTCCAGGCTGGCACATTAGGGGGCAGCGATCACAGCAAAGGCTGACCTCCTACCCTGCGGCCCTTCTCACCCAGGCCCAAGATGCCATCTGGGCAGGAGGAGCCTGAAGCAGTGGCTGAGCTCAGAGGCTGATCCCTGAACCAGGTCAGATGAGGGACAGGTGCAGTCACATCCACAACCAATCAAAATAAGGCAACTCCATGTCACACAACAATCATCTGGACAAGAAGTAGGAAGAAAAATATTAGGTTATTAGGTTGGACCATATGAAACTGCCATGTTTGCAGATAAAATGGTTGAATGCTGGCAATTTGATATGATCCAACCTAATATAAAATGGAAAAAAGTACACATAGAAGAGTAAGCATGTTGTTGAAGTACCAGAAGAAATAATTGTAAGATTTTAGGTAGCTCTTCTTTTCCCCTATAAGCCTTTACTTTGTAAGCTACATACATGTATTCTGTTAATAAAAAAAAAAACTTCGGCCGGGCACAGTGGCTAATGCCTGTAATCCCAGCACTTTAGGAGGCTGAGGCAGGTGGGAGTTCGAGACCAGTCTGACCAACATGGAGAAACTCCATCTCTACTAAAAATACAAAATTAGGACGGGTGCGGTGGTTCACCCCTGTGATCCCAGCACTTTGGGAGGCTGAGGCAGGCGGATCACAAGGTCAAGAGATCGAGACCATCCTGGCCAACATGGTGAAAACCCATCTCTACTAAAAATACAAAAATTAGCTGGGTGTGGTGGCGTGCACCCATAGTCCCAGCTACTCAGGAGGCTGAAGCAGGAGAATCACTTGAACCTGGAAAGCGGAGGTGGTGGTGAGCCAAGATTGCGCCGCTGCACTCAAGCCTGGGCAACAAGAGTGAAACTCTGTCTCCAAAAAAAAAAGTAAAACTTCAATTAAAAACAAATCAGCCAATAAAGGAATGAATCAATATATCAATAGGGGGGGAAGAGATAAATCTTCCTTCCAGAAGAATTCCAAACATTGTAGGCAGATATGCTCCCCTCCCTCAGAAGGAGCTTAATTCTTGTCCACTCCACATCCCCTAAGCCCAGGGTGGTCTAGACTTGGTCACTCACTTCCAGCTGAGGAGCAGGGAAAGGGAAAAGAGTAAACTTTCCAGTGGAGAAACCTGGCCATCACTGTCCTAACCACGTGTTGGAGGTAAACATCAGCATGAAATCACATGGCTAGCATGTACCCCAACAGATGTGATGAGAAGGGCACTTCGCCTGGAGTATTCTTTCTAAAAACCCACAACCCCAGGATAATCCTAAGAAAAGCATCAGACAAACCTAAACTTGGGGACAGTCTACAAGATGCCTGGCCAGTGCTCCTCAACTGTCAAGGTCATGACAAGTCAGGAAAGACTAAGACGCAAAGCAGAGGACATTGAGAAGATGTGACCTTAAATGTAACATGGACCCTTGGATGGGGTCCTGGCATAAAAAGAGGATGTGAGTGGAAATACAGGAAATCCAAATCAAGTCTAGTGTTTCAGACTAATAGTAACACATCGGTTTCTTAGTTTTGACAAACACATCATGGTAACATAAAATGTTAACAACTTAGGCAACTGGGTGGGGGCTTACAGGAGCTCTGTTCTATCTCTGCAACTTTTCTGTAAATCTAAAGTGATTCTAAAATGAAAAGTTTATTTCAAAAAAGCAATTAACTAGATGGGAATGGTGGCTTGTGCTTGTAATCCCAGCTACACGGGAAGCTGAGGCAAGGGGATTGCTTAAGCCCAAAAGGTTGAGACCAACCTGGGCAACATAGCAAAACCCCATCTCTTATTTTATTTTTTGAGATGGAGTCTCACTCTGTCACCAGGCTGGAGTGCAGTGGTGATCTCGGCTCACTGCAACCTATCTCCTGGGTTCAAGCGAGTCTCCTGCCTCGGCCGCCCGAGTAGCTGGGACTACAGGCGCATGCCACCATGCCTAGCTAATATTTTTTTTTGTATTTTTAATAGAGATGGGGTTTCACCTTGTTGGCCAGGATGGTCTCGATCTCTTGACCTTGTGATCTGCCCGCCTTGGCCTCCCAAAGTGCTGGAATTACAGGCGTGAGCCACTGTGCCCGGCCGACCCCATCTCTTAAAACAGGAAAAAAATTAACAGCAATGAACTATTGTTATATGTAACAAACTCAAAATATTTTGCTGAGTGAAAGAGGGCTTTGGCAAATGTACATACAAGATTTGCAGTTTCCCCTGCAATTTTACATAAGAAAAACGTAAATAAATATTGAACTCTAGTTAATGATACACATGCTGAAAGATTTAGCAGGAAATGTACTGATGTCTGCATTTCAATTTGAAATACACTAAAAAAATAAGATGGACTGAGGGACGGACACCGTGATGGAACAAGTACAGGAGGATATGAATGGTGGACTCCTGGTGGTGGGTGTGTATACGGGTGTCCAGGGCTAAGACTGTGAACTGTGCTGTGTGTGTGGAAATCTGCAGGATACACGGGGTGGCAGGAAGAGCCCTGTGAGTGGCTTGGGCAAACAGCCCTGAGTGTCATCAGTCCTGAGTGGGCACCTTGCCCCCAGGGAGAGGACACCAGGCTGGCCCAGAGGCCTGGCCTTTTCAGAGGGAAGCCTATAGCCAGAACAACCTCTTCTGACCTTGGGGCTTTCCATCTGGGTCATGAGGAG